TACTTATAGTTATAACTATATTGTTATGATAGTTTGGGGGCACGCCGCGTGTGCTGACTTACCACAAAATGATATTCATTACGTTTTCCAACGTTTTTCATGAGAATGTGCACCTACTGTAAAATCCTACGATTCATCTCAAACGAGGGTGTGTTAGGATTATTCCTAACAAGCAGTCCGAGTGAAGTTTCAGGTCACGTTATCGGCTCCCTGCCCACAGATAAAGAACTAAGGATAAAGGCCACACAAGCCGGCGGATAAAAGCCTGCGCCGCCGGGCGCGCGCGTGAGATGGCCAATCAAGCCCCTAGGCGAATGAGGGCACGATCTGATTGGTTGCATCTATAATCTTACATATCATATAGTCTCCGTCAAGGGACTCAATAAAGGACTTCCTTCCCCTTACGACCTTGTTCTTTGTTCTCCCTGCTGAACTGACACAAAGAGACTGGCGGCACGAATCTAGCTTTGGGAAGCCATTACAACGGACGGAACTTATCGCTTACAAATACGAATAAAACATTAGCATGGTCGTTACCTTTCCATTCGTCTGCATCGGCTAATTACAATTACTTCCAGGATCAGGATAAACGTGACAGCATAGACTGGATCAGTTTATTTGTCATCAAACTTTCAATTCAGACCTTTTGCCTCAAAGAGGTTGCTTCCTTCGTTGCTGTTGTACGGATCGCATAAGCAACAGGAGCACTGCAAGGACGAAAATGGAAATAGGGGTAACTAAAATAGGCCGAGGGGGCGCAGAAGCAACATGACGAGCAGGAGTAAGGGAGGAGGAAGAGGAGCAAAAACAAGCGCATGAGAGAATAAACGAGTAAAGGAGATAAAGAAAGTAATAGAAAGCTTATTTCCCGTACACAAGGCTAATGTTTTATCCCCCTCAATACCCTTAGCCCTAAAAAGGGTTTCCGAAACTACTAGCATTTTTATAAAAAGAGAAAGCCTGAAATGTATTCGGAAATTGGACATGAACAACACTGGATAATTCATCACCCAAAAGCTAACGCCGCGCAGCCCTTCAAAACTTTTCCAGAAGAGTACATAGACCTGCTGCACGCATGGAACAAAATTTGATGCACCAATGTGAATCACCAAAGAACTGCATATTTAGGATAATTTTATCCATAAGACGTCACAAAATGCACTCTCACGACAGTATCTTCCAGGAAACTAAGCAGTCCAAACCGTTACTATTCAAAAAGACCTTGGCTTAATTATTACAGACGACTTAAGCCCCAAAATTGCAACAAAGGCGATTTCCATTATGAACATTACACGAACTTATACGTTAACACGTTACACGTTAACTTATACGCAGATATGCTTTATGGAGTATAGACGCGTTCGTTTAATAGAAAAAAACGGTATGCGGTACAGATTTAGCAACCTTGAATTCGGGAACAATTGAATTCGGACAACTGAAGCTTTCCAAATACATGCTTCGAATCATGTCGCTTAACTCAGATAGTTGACGTACCAAAAGCAACTGATTGCGTTGAACTGCTTTTCATTCCAACATAGACAAAACAGAGTTGACATTTCAGGTACAAGAGTGAACTTATCTGACAGCGACGTAGATAGTTGGCCGTCATCTGAATAAGAGGAAAGTAGTATAGAGAATTTAGTACCTGCACAGCTCTCTATGCATGAGAGAAAAAGCCATACAGTCAGATGTAGGCCATACCAATCTGCGTTATATTCTAGAAGGGTTCAATTCTCTCGTCCCAAATGTACTTACCGAATCCTGCATATTGCTGGGAGGCATCTGACCGTACTAAAAAATAGCACAGCATTTAGGACAGGCAGGTAGAGGATTACGCGATTGTACTGACCAATGCTACAAAAGACGAAAGGTCAAAACACGAGGCTCTCTAATAGTTAAGGCTATGTTAGGTTAACCCTAACAGCTACAATCTCCCAGGCCTGCTTCCTTCGGAGTTGAGAGAAGCCTTAGGAAGACCAGAGTAGAAGGAATAGTTTACTGTGTACACAAAGTAACGATGAATAGGTGGAGAGAAGTTGGACTTCAGAGCATACGTCATTCCGCTGGAGCGCCGTGGTCCTAAGTCATACCTGGCGGCCGAGGGTGGGGGAAAAGGGACTTGTTCGAATGGTGTTTGGGCGACCGCGAGAACCTAGACACACGTGTGTGTATCCAAGTGGAAGTAGGCCAAGTCTCTGCAGGTCAGCGCGACTGTAAACGCTGACTGAGGTATTGGATACCCTTGAGGTAGCTGTCGTTGAACAATGATGCCGGACAAAATAATGGAGGGCGTTGGCCGGCAGCGTCCACTACAGCTCCACTATTGTATTTTTCTTATAAACCGTTTTCTGTTAGTAAAAATAGTACTCACAACCCTACTGTGGGTGTGAGGGTCGGACGTCTTAGAAAGGATGAACAATGTGTGGGCAGCTGGGGAGGGAGAGGTAAAGGAAGGAAGGAACTCTTGCGGGCCGACTTCTCGTCTGTCTACACGTTCCACCAACAGTGAAGACCACGGAAGAAGCTCCTCAGCTTCTGCTGCCATCGTTTGCACCTCTACATGAAAAAGAAGAAGAAGTACGGGCACTTTACACAATGGTACGATGACCTACTTAAAGTGTCCGAAAAAAGTCAATAACACCTTAACATAATGTCACACTTACCCTGTTCGACGAAGCAGACTTTCCGAGATGCTCGCCTGCAAGGAAAATCTTAAGCAATCAGCTGCTAATATCAGAAAACATGTGTAAAGAAATAAAAATGCAAGATTTGGTGCAAGTACTTCGGGAATGCAGCTGGATAAAGATAACCTTTTAAGATGGCTTTCGAGGTCAACGACATGTAGAGTTGGTGGTTTCCAGAACCCTGCATCCAATCTAAGAAAGAGAGACATTCAAATGCACCGGATACCGGAAGAACCACCGCATCCTTTGCACTCCGTGGAGTGCTAAAATTAAGGAAGAGATTTAAGCGAGGTTTGCTACCAACTAGTTCACGATGAAAAGTTTCTTTGAACGGGGTATCGTGGCACATAACTTGGTGAGCAGTGAACCTAGGCTTCTGCGAGCCTGGTAGACCATTATTGCAGTAGCTAAGGTCGGCTTGAGGTATATTACCCGAAGAGGCAAGGCTTCGCATATAATCCTCGCAGTGATAGAATAACAAAAATGCGATTAAAATAGGTTTTCGTCACGTGCCTCATCGTTATTCTCCACAATATCCCCGTATCCTAATTGCGCCTTCCCATCAACGTCCTACTTTCACTCCTGCTACCACTGCATGGTCACAATGGCTTCTATTAAACTAGCTTTAAGAACGACGTACACTACGACCTCTGGCGATCACACTGCACCTGAATGTCTTCCCAAATCCCTTATATGGTCACAACAGACCGACAACAGCCAAGACCAAAGAAGAAGCACCTCAGTCTCTGCTGCCATCGTTTGCGTTTCTACAGGAGGAAGAAGAAGAACGTGCACCTTACCAAATGGCACGATGACATTCTTCAAGTCTCCGAAGAAGGCCAAAAACATCTTAACATACATTGTTCGTTGCAGCGGACTTTTCGAGATGCTCGCTTACAAGAAAAAACCTTGAGTTTGCAGTGGTCCTTGACTGTCTGATGCCTGGCCTTCCTGTCGTGACCTCAATCCGTCTAGACCTCAAGGTCGTGGCGGTCGCCAATCTTACTGGCGCGCGAGACACCGACCGCCCACGTCGATTTCTACCCACACGCTGTCCAACCAATCACAGGCCGAGCTAGCCAATAAACGCTCTCCCTCTGCCTACTGGCCTGACTGCTGTCAAACTGGCTTTTGGGACGCTACCAATCTCCTGGGTGGTCGTGTTCTCCCAAATCAGACTCCTTCCATCTATTGTCCTTTCCTCTGTGTACACAATATATTGTTCCTACTACTCTGGCCTTTCCAAGACATTCTTCTCTACTAAGTTACCATGGTTTGAAGACCGCAGTTGCCTGGCTTTAACTTACTTAACCCCCTGCGATAAGTTATCAGAAAATTGTATTCTAAGAAATAAAAAAGCAGGAGTTGGGGCAAGTAAATTGGGAATCTGAATGGATAGAACTAACCTTCCACGATGGCTTTTGAAGTCAACGACAGGTCGAGCTAATGGTCATCAGAACCTTGCATCTCACCTAAGTAGGAGAGACAGTCAAATGCCTCGGATACCCGAAGAGCCACCGCCTCCCTTGCGATTCTTGGGGGGCTAACATTTCAAAATGTATTAAGAGAGGTTTGCCACCAACCAGTTTACGATGGAAAGTTTCCTTGAACGGGGTTATCGCAGGGGGTTAAGTGAGTCAACCCCAGTAACTGCGATCTTCAGACCATGGTTACTAAAAGCTGAAGAGAAGTCGTGAAAGGCTCGAGTAGTAGGAAAGATTATATTGTGTTCACAAGGGAAAGGAGAATAGATGGAGAGAGATTTGACTTGGACAGCATACAACCAGCCAGGAGAGGCAGTCGAGTCCAAGTGCGGTTTTAGCAGCAGGTATGCAAGCAGCAGCGAGAACGGTCATTGTCTGGTTGCCTTGAAGGTTATTGGCCGGACAAACTGTGTCGACCTTGGAGCGCCTGCGTCCCATCCGCCGGCGGGAGAGACGAGCCTTTGGGGATCTGCGATTGGCTGTTGCAGAGGCCGCCGTCAGTGCGGACGTACGCGTT